ATGCTTAAAACATTTATAAGATAAAAATATCACCCATTTTCTTTCATTTGGGCGAGTTTTAAACTTGTGGCTTATATCTAAAATTTCTGGCGAATTTTTATAAATGACACCTGTTTTTGATCGTTAAAACTACTATCAAAATAGCCGTCGATTTGACAAAGACCGATATGATCAAATCAAATGATCTTTGCAGGATAAAATGACAAGGAAGAGTTCTTTCGATCTATGTAAAAATATTGTTGGGTAAATGTGTTTATACTTCGCTAGAACCGACCAAAGTTACCGAAATATTCATATTTTCAACAGGTGCTGGGTGATTGATTTGCGACCAGGCCTGCATATGAATTCGCCCAACCTCGTCCCCAGGGCCATCTCGGCCGACTCCGTTTCAAGATGGCGGTCGTCGGAGAGATGACCCTGGCGTTGGCTGGAATCACGTGATCAAAACCTCCAAGATTTTTGGAGGTTTTGATCACGTGGCTTATCTATTCAAAATGGCGCTCGAAACGTGAACTCAACGGTTTCACAAACTGGGATAGCTGTGGTGGGTCGGTATTTGCTTCATGTTTTGATGATTTATTTGAAAAATGTCCTTCCGTCATGCCGTCATCGGCAGTGTTGACCCCTAGACCGCCTACGGGAGTAGATCCAGTTCATTCTAGAATTCTTGAGGGATCCGCTCACTGCAGAAATCGGCGAGTAGAAGACTTCTATAAACATCGAATGCTATCGCTAAATATATCCGTCAAGTTAAATTTCTTACACGAGTAGTTGGCATCTCCAAACCACATATTGGACAAGAGAGACATAAGAGGACAACTGACAAGAATTCCAAAGAATATCGTTGCTTTTTAATCGACAAAACGTACCTTAATTAAATTTCGGGAATATTTGAATAAAAACAATGAACGCATCGTAACGGTTAAATCAATAACCGATCAAAGACCTAACGGTTATCCGGACATACCGACAGTGTCGAACACATCCCGACCTATAGACGAACATAAACAGCCAATAATGAGTGATATAAGAAAAGGCATTTTGAATAGCCAATCAGAAAGCGGCTTAGTTTAGCCAACGCCAGGGTCATCTCCCCGACGACCGCCATCTTGAAACGGAGTCGGCCGAGATGGCCCTGGGGACGAGGTTGAAGTTTTCAGTTACAAAGAAAGCTTGATCCTTATTGGCTGAAAACATTTCTTTTGTTTCTTAGCCGATCAAAAGCGCAAATTTGTTTACAATTGCACTGATATTACAGCTTTTTGCACTGCTCAGTCTGTTGTAATTGCACTGCAGAAATGTAATTGCACTGAATTAAGAATGAATTGAGATGTTATCAGCCAATCAGAATTGATTATTTTTTTCATGTATATTAAGTATAATCCTTCAAATTCTAACATTTTGGGGGCCATTCCTTTGGAAAACCACTATAGTAAACATGGCCGTAAGCAAGTAACAATTTTCGGAAAACTTCGTTCACAGGTCGGGTGTTTTCGAGAATTATTTCGTCATTCTCTCGGCGTTTAGTCGACAGCATTCATAATGGATGCATTACCTATGGTTTGTTAAAAAATTGTAAATATAAAAAACAACTTGCGTAGACCTCTGGTAAAATCAATTCGGGTCCGTACGTCGTACTTCACTGACATCAGAGAAGATGACCGCCAAGCATTTGTCCTGACTGATCTTCTTTTTGTGATTTTTGATTCATTCATTTTCACTAAAGTCAAAATGCTCTGTTTCTATATGATAATGTATTTGCAATTAGATCTATGCCTTTCAGATAATTGCTGCAGTGCAACTTGGGTCCATTGGTGGTAAGAACATTTAGGAAAGCCATTTCATCAGGTGATATATTACAGGAGAAAACTCATGGAGCCTGAGTTTTAAATGTATTAGTATTTACCTGAATAAATTATCATGGAGACTTTGCAGACTGGTAGGGGTTAGTCCTTAACTTATAAAAGACCCTATAACAAGCCTAACCCTAACACTAAAACCTTTAAGAGATTTTAGTAGTAGTGCCAATTCATGAGGTTTTACATAAAGTACTGACCTTACAAGGCATGAATTTTACGGCATAATTGGGACCACTATTATAATATCAACATATATCAAATGTTTGACAAACTAAACTCCATATTTTGAAGGCAAACACTGTATACAGGACATTGTCCTTGATCCTTTAAAAAGACAAATTTATATGTCTGTTTTAACCTGCACATTGGGTGAAGTTCTCCTTTTCACTATGAAGCATGTAGCTCTTTCCAAACACAGCAAACACGTCTACCTTGAAATTCATTTTTTGGAGTAATCAAGAAATAACCACGACTTTTCCCGGTTGTGTCATCTACAGCAAGCATAGACTGAAAAAGAACTTGCAAAGAAACCCAGTATGGTGGATACTTGAACCTAGCAGTATCCAGAATCAAAGCAGAGTTAGATTCCTCATCATAGGCAGCGACTGGACTGTAGTGGCCAGTGCCTGTCTGATTCAGGACCTTGCGGTTAAATGATATTGCCATATATGTACTTGGATTCTCTTCATCAAAATTCTCACTTTCGCAAGTGATATTCTCTCGTTCGTAGCAGTTCAAGTCTTTCTTCTCACAGTTTAAGTTTCTGCCTCCAGTACAAGTACAGAAAAGTGCCTTTGAAAACATTTTGAAGTCTTTTTCGTTGCCTTTTGGTCTGACTAACTTGCATAAGGCTCCATTACAAGCTGCAAGACACTGAAACTCTTCCATTGTGACACCACGGTTCTTAACGGCCTCTGAAGGACGGCAGCGATGTAAAAGCTCCTCTGAAAACCACCTCCATGGAGTCTTCCAAAGTCTTTGAGGGTCGATTCTCAGTGAATTTAAGATAATAGCAAGCGTGGACAGTCCACAAAAGGCCGGCTCAGACTGGGTATTAAAGCACGAGGAGAGAGAGAGAAAAGGAACGGCTGTTCCCTTTGATAAACTGCGAACAAGTCGAACTTTGGATTCATTAGAACGATAATCAACCAGACATTTGGGAAGGTTTCTGCAGTAAAACGACTTCGAAGTCGCCATTAACATTTATATTTACCTCAATTGTGACAGGCGCTCCGCTGTGACTGCAATAAAAAAAGAAAAGAAAAGGTCTGAATAATTATAAACTACTGAACTCCCTAAAGTTGTGCAGTTTCAAATTTCTTTGTTAGCACCCCCAGGAAGAACTTGTATATATGGTACCAAACTATTAATAGAAGCTTATAAACACTTTCAAGTATTGCTTAAAAGCAGTAGAAAACATTTTCCGTGTTTGTATAGCCACTGCTAAGTCACCGATCGATATTTGACCACAACAGACGGCTGGGAGACAGTTATGCAAATCTTAAACAAAGTATATTTACAAACGGTCGAATTTATGTTACAACGGAATACAGAAGCGTTAATTGACGATTACTTCTAATGACTATTTACCATCATGTCAATGAAATTAAAAGTTTGTACAATTACGAGAAAAGTTTGTAAACAATTTTGTTTTTATTAACCCAATTTTTAGTCTTTTTTAAAAAAGATTCTGCACGTTTTCAATATGCATGATGATATATAGACACGGCGTTACATGTAATAGTCAATCAAACATTCGACAATCGACAATCGAACATTTAAAAGCTGTCCGATTGATTATTAACGATTGGTTGGAATCAAACACAATCATACTCACAACAAAGACAGAACAATCGGACGTTTGAAAATCGATTTGAAGTCAATCGGACAAAATTATTGTCGAAATGTAGTTGACTGTTAATTGAAAGATTGAACTATTCAATCGTCGAGGATTACTAGTTCTAGCCTCTTAGAACTTTCCTGAACAGGTTGAGACACTGGGTTTGGGTATATTCACTGATCACATGAACAGTTCAGATGTTAGAATAGGAAAAAAAAAACAGTACACTGAAAGATCACATTAAACTTATTTTTGTGAGTTTGAAATCCTTTGCATCAACAGGTGAACTTCAACCTTTTTAAAATATTTTACAATTTGATCAATCCAGGCCCTATATTTCTTTGTAAATTCATTTTCTTTAATTAATCTTTTTCCAAAGATCGCACTTCAGCTGTCAATACAAAGCATGCAAAAGTCACAAAACTTATTCAATCTGTGATCTTGTGGTATGTTTCAATTCTTGATAATTTTAGAAACTCATACCCAGTCTTCCATTTCTAGTTTTGATATACACCTACTTGCAGAAACGTTGTCATAGAAAATAGAACATTCGAATTTAGTAAAAAGGAATAAATTAAAACAAGACAAAAGAAAGCGTTCAGCCTCAGTGATCTTCTTTTGTCTTTTTAATGTATTCCTTTTTACTAAAATACAAATGTCCTATTTTTTATGACAACGTTTTCGCAAGTAGGTGTATATAAATATCGATTATTACTGAGTCATTTTAGCTTAAAACTCATGATGCTAACAAAAATGTATCTTTGATCCTTAGCTTAAAATCTGAACTGTTTTAACCTGCACATTGGGTGAAGTTCTCCTTTTCACAAAAACAAGTAGCTCTTTCCAAACACAGCAGCACGCCCGTCTTGGCGGAGTTTATTTTTTGGAGTAATCAAGAAATAACCACGACTTTTCCCAGTTGTGTCATCTACAGCAAGCATAGACTGAAAAAGAACTTGCAAAGAAACCCAGTATGGTGGATACTTGAACCTAGCAGTATCCAGAATCAAAGCAGAGTTAGATTCCTCGTCATAGGCAGCGACTGGACTGTAGTGGCCTTTTCCTTCCTGATTTAGGTCCTTCCGGTTATATGATACTACCATATAAGTATTTGGGTTTCCCTCGTCAACTAAATGCTTACTTTCACACGTATTATTTTCTCGATCATAACGGTCATAGCACTTCTTCTCGCAGTTCAAGTTTCTGCCTCCGGTACAAGCACTGAAAAGTGCCTTTGAAAACATTTTGAAGTCTTTTTCGTTGTCTTTTGGTCTGACTAACTTGCATAATACTCCATTGCCATGTGCAAGACACTGAAACTCCTCCATTGTGATACCAGCCTTCTTTACGACCTCTGAAGGACGACAGCAGTCTAAACGCTCCTCTGAAAACCATCTTTGAGGGTCGATTCTCAGTGAATTTAAGATAATACCAAGCGTGGAGAGTCCACAAAATGCCGGATCAGACTGGGTATTAAAGCACGAGGAGAGAGAGAGAAAAGGAACGGCTGTTCCCTTTGATAAACTGCGAACAAGTCGAACTTTGGATTCATTTGAACGATAATCAACCAATAATTCGGGAAGGTCTTTGCAGTAAAACGACTTCGAAGTCGCCATGAACATTTGTATTTACCGCCTTTCTGTGACAGGTGTTCCCTTCGGTGGTAAAAAAAAGAAAAAGAAAAAAATACCTTAATAAAGTTCATGTGACAGTGAATAAATCTTCACCTACATTTCCGTTGTTAGYAACCTCAGGTAGTATATTTGGTGCCAAACTATCAATAAAAGCGTATAAACACTTTTGAGTGTTGATTAAAAGCACCGAAAGCGTTTATTCCAAGGTTGTATAGTGTGATGCAAACATGACAGGTAGGAAACAGCTATGCAAATCTGAAACGAAGGAAATTTACAAACGGTCAGATTTATGTCAACGGAAAACAGAAAACATTGGCGATGAATTCTACTAACAGTTAAAATAAAAAAAATATTGTCAATATGAAAAGTTTGTAAAATTACTACGAGAAAAGGTCGTACACAATTTAGTTTTCATAAACGCCAATTTTTAGTTATTTCAAAGACTCTAAACGTTTTCAATAATTTACGTCTTTAATATGCATGATGATATGAACACAGCGTTTAGTGAATTGAAACTATAGGATGCCCAGGGGGCAATAAACAATAACTTTATAGACTGTAGGACTTTAAAAACGCTATGGGATTAAATAAAAAAAACTCGACACATTTGAATTTTTTTTAAATCATTAATTCAAATTATGAAGACAGAAATTATCAGGAAAAGACATTTTTCGGCACTACATTTATATGAATATGTTTGCTTTTGCCTTTTGGATATCCCATAATTTCTTGAAGATCTATTAGGTGTATTATGCATATTGCTAATATTGCCGATTTTATCCGATGTATCGTTATGATATTTACATTGTAAAGTAATAAAGATTATTATCGTAGATGCAGCTGTCTTTGCTTATGAAAAGTGCTTGCATGTGTTGCAAACGTACAACTCTGACAATAAATTTCAGAACAAACTCAGGATAAGCACAACACTAAAGTCCTCTTTTCATTTTCCTCGCATTAAACGCCATCTTTCTGCTCAACAAGCTGGAACTAGCTCCTCAGAGTAAAAGGTACGATTTTTATCACCATTTGTTGATTGCTTGAAAGAAAATTACAGGATGTGACGTCATTTATCACGTGACTACCCTGTAATGCAGCCTGACAAAACACCCTAATAGCATCTAGTTACGTTGATTTCTTTAGCAAACAGGGGATGGTTTTCTGCTGAGAGACTTTTCTATAGATTTTTTTATCCTGTTTTTAGTGACTGCTGTACATCTATCCCATATGTAATATATCTTCTCTTTTTACATTTATCAAGGAAATGTAATAGAAATCTCTATTCAAAAGGTTCCATAAACAGGGAGAGTATTTATAATACTATTGTGTATAAACAAGTACCCTATTTCTACATGACTATACCCCTATCATTTAAAGTATTCTATCAGGACATACAAAGTCATATTAACTTTGGAGAATTCCTCTCAGAAATAAGATGTGAGTCTAAAATCACTTTATTAACTAACGAAACATGAATATTTTTACACCTCACTACAATTGAGAAAAATCAGATCAAATTAGTTTTGTGAGTTTGACAACCTTTGCAAAATTACCAGCTGAACTGCAACCTTTTTAGAAATATTAAATATCTTATTGAATTTACAAAGAAATGTTTGATCAACCCACAACCTACCTATGTTTCTTTGTAAATAGCACAAATTTTAGATGACTGCAGTCCAGCTGTTGTTGAAWTTCCATGTGGTGGGGTTAATTTCTTTATTTATATGTCAACTATAATGAATCATTCTAGCTTATCTTGTGATTCTAGCTTGTCTTGTGATCCTTTGGATTTACAAATACCTAACTTCTGTAAGCTGTACATTGGGTGAGGTTCATCCAGTTGCCTTTCACTTTTCTCATCACTACTCTGTAGCTCTTTCCAAACACAGCAAACACGTCTACCTTGGAATTCATCTTTTGGAGTAACCAAGAAATAACCACGACTTTTCCCAGTTGTGTCATCTACAGCAAGCATAGACTGAAAAAGAACTTGCAAAGAAACCCAGTATGGTGGATACTTGAACCTAGCAGTATCCAGAATCAAAGCAGAGTTAGATTCCTCGTCATAGGCAGCGACTGGACTGTAGTGGCCAGTGCCTGTCTGATTCAGGACTTTGCGGTTATATGATATTGCCATATATGTACTTGGATTCTCTTCATCAAAATTCTCACTTTCGCAAGTGATATTCTCTCGTTCATAGCAGTTCAAGTCTTTCTTCTCACATTTCAAGTTTCTGCCTCCAGTACAAGCACAGAAAAGTGCCTTTGAAAACATTTTGAAATCTTCTTCGTCGTGTTTTGGCCTGACTAACTTGCATAATGCTCCATTGCAATGTGCAAGACACTGAAACTCCTCCATTGTGATACCAACCTTCTTTACGACCTCTAAGGGACGACAGCAGTCCAAAAGCTCCTCTGAAAACCACCTCCATGGAGTCTTCCAAAGTCTTTGAGGGTCGATTCTCAGTGAATTTAAGATAATAGCAAGCGTGGACAGTCCACAAAAGGCCGGCTCAGACTGGGTATTAAAGCACGAGGAGAGAGAGAGAAAAGGAACGGCTGTTCCCTTTGATAAACTGCGAAGAAGTCGAACTTTAGATTCATTAGAACGATAATCAACCAATAATTCGGGAAGATCTCTACCATAAAACGATTTTGCTTTTGCCATCTTGTAACTATTGACTTCTGATCGTTTGATCTTCGGCAATTTTTGTCAGGCGTTCCTTTTGGTTGTCGGAAAAAAGCTGGAACGAGCACTATACGGCTTTTAAAATTCCTTCCTGGTGTCGTTAAGAATATGCAATGGCCGTGTTTTGCTTTCGTCTCTAGTTCTTCCGTTGTCTTAGGTCCTAAGCAAGCAGAACTAACTCGAGATGAGTTACGAGGCGCATCAGCAATCCCACGTTTTGCCTAAATATGCCCTCACAGATGGACACATTTTCATCCATCTAGGCTTCCCTTTTTTCTTCCTTTATAAGTTTTGGCTAATTGCCCTTTTCTTTCTACCTTTTCCTTGTAGAGTTCCACGTTGATTTAGTCTCAGACTTGTTGCATACTTTTCTTGCATCTTCTTTTTCATTCCTACTTTGAGCATCCTTTTTCCGGGTGGGGGTTGAGAATCCAGAAGGGGAGGGGGGTATAATTTTATGTACTTAAAGAGGGGGGGGGGGGGGGGGGGCAACGTCTAAAATAAACTAGAACTTTAATTGTAACTGAAAAATCAACGGTGTCAGATACTGTGCCTTTTGGCCAATTACTAATTGTAGTGGAAAACGTCTTAAGAAAAGCGTGCCACGACGAACTCTTTATTCACGACTGATAAATACATAAATTCAGGCAGAGCATAATTTATTTTCTTTGCAAGGGGGGGGGGGAGAGGGTGATTAACTTTTATGATTTTTTGCCTCGTTTCTTAACCCCCTCCCCCCTCCTGATATATTTATTTGCGCAGTCCCTAACTATTTTCATCACCAAATCGCTCTCACATTAAAGAAAAACCGGCATTGCGCATTGATGCCAACTAAGCTCCTATTTCAGTGTCTTGCACATTGCTATGGAGCATTATGCAAGTTAGTCAGGCCAAAACACGACGAAGAAGACAGACGAATTTTGAGATCTGTCCAAAACGTTTTAGTATTAAATACTGCAGAGCGCAGTATGACTAGATTCGCAATCGATTTAATTCAAAGAGTAGATTTGTTGAGTATTTGTTCAAACACATACACAGTAATATCTCCAATGGCAACATCATGTTCCAAAACTTTAAGTTCTTCCACGATCACTTTTTTTGCTTCAGCTCGAAAAGAAGAGCTCTGACAACACACAAAAAGAAACACCTGAAAATCTTTCCCGATTATTTCAGAAGCAGTTTGTAGCTGCTGTAATAAATGTGCTTTGAACAACTCTTTGTCATTTGTATAAATTGAACATAACCAGATTACTGACTGCACTCTTGGCTGAACGATTTAATTTTCGATTTTGATTTCCTTGTTTCTTCTTTACTCACTTCAGCAAACAATTTATCTTCTTCTTGGAATATATAAGGAATGTTTGAAGCTATTGGCTCAAAAGCTTCGCCAGCTCTAAATATGATCTTTTTTGGAGCTATTGAGCCCAGAGCAGCAAATATTATATCAGCATCTTCAACCCTATATGGATATAAGCCAATGTACCGCATTGCCTCGCTCGTTTCAATGTAATTTTCAGATTTCTTGGTAAAATCGGCCCCTCCTTTTATCTGGAAAGTGACACCGTGTAGTTCCTCGAGCAGTTTGTCGCCACGTCCCGCTTTAACCAAACTAAAGACGTGCGGCGAGGAATTCAATGTGGAGTTACTCTTTACCAGCGTTGAACGCCTTTTAGATCCGACGGAGATCAATAGCAATCTCGGCTTCAATGGAACTACTCAGCCCTTGACCGCGGTAATCGTTATGGATACGAAATGTTGACGACATGCACGTCTTGCCTGAAGACACAATGCTGGCCACACTCACTCCAACCACTTTTCCTTCCAATTCAGCCAGGTAAACCAACTTGTTAGGAATCTTAAGCCAATCATGAAAGCGAAGGGGAAGAGAATCTAATCCTCCGTAAATACCTTCTGAGATTCGAAGAAGATCTTTGTAGTCTTCTTCTCTAGCAAGACGGACACGAATCTTGTGTTTGCCAGACAATCTTGTAGCAGCTTTATTTTGTGATCCAACCTTCAAAAGTGAAGCATAAGAGCTATGTAGCTAACTTGTTGTGAAAAGCATGTATTAACAACGATGAAGTGAAAAGATAAAGTTCGGTTAGTTTCTTACCTTTTGTGATTTCTCGTCCATTACCTCAATGCAAATATCTTCTGTTGTATCACGGGTTCAGCATGCTATCAAGGTTTGGAATGTTTAGATAAATCTTTGAGCTAAGGTCAACTTGGCGCTCTAATATTACGCGAACTCGTGGGTTACATCCCACAGAACGTCTTCGGACACCTTCTTCAGTCTTTGGACATATGTGTCAATCTTTGGAAGCTTTGAAATGATTACGTATTGTTTTTGATATACAATTAGACGCTCTTAGAGCGTGAGGTCGGTCATTGTAACTATTATGGACAATTGACAAATAATGATCAATATTTGTCTGACTCTATATATTCGGTATAAGACGGGAGAATAAACCATGATTTATGTTGCAACTTGAATGTCAACATTAACTGTGAAGAGAGAAAAAAAACTACCTTCTTGAATAACAGAAATGGCTCATAATATTCTTAATAATATCATATAAATCATTTTCAGTAATGGTTTGCACATCGAATGAAATTTTAGCATTTTTCTTCACAAGAGACGGAAAGAGACTGAGGCCCGGTTCATACGTCAAGCCAGCGTCGCACCGAAACAAATAGTCAATTGGTGTCGACCCAAATAAATTCGGTACGGCGTTGATTCATACGTCGAACTAAATGCAGTCAAAAGCATAAGAAAAGGTGCGATAACACATTTACACCATTTTTATTCTCGAAAACAGATATTTTTGTGCGTTAAGTTCGGCACGACGAAAGCTCGACGTATGAATCAGCGTCGAGCTTTTGCCGTGCAGCACGACTGACTCTACCGTGCCACTGCCGAGCTACGGTCGCGCCGAACTCATACGTCGAGCTGTTCATGTGCTAAATTCAAACTATTTGGTTCGGCGCGACTCTGGCTCGACGTATGAACCGGGCCTGTCTTTTAACTAAAATTAATGTGCAGTTCAAAATGCTTACTTTTTTATTCACACGCTCAATGTACACTCTCCTGACGGCTCGGAACATGTCTGTCAAAACTAATCACGAGCCAGGAGTCTTCGCGGCTAAATAATGCAGGGGAATTTGGGCCTCTTTTCCGTCGCAAATTATGCAAATTAGGTAGCTTATGTTTTCCGGTTTTGAGCATAACGACAAGAAGGGAAAAGGATTAGCGAATACTTTATTTTAGGAATGTTACCTGCACCTTTTTCCAAACAAATAAAAAGTTTGTGAAAATATGTATGTATGGAAAAAAAAAGTATGCTTGTTTTTTTTTTTTTTTAATACATATATGAAACGAGCGCGCAGACGTCCGGTTATTTCATGTATCAAGTTTAGATCTTCGATCAAATGYTGATAAAAATGTCAACCTCGTTCCCAGGCCCTTTATAAGGGATTAATGGCCTGGGAACGAGATTGTAAAAATGTGTATCATTTCTTTTTACGCATTCTACAGGGAGCCCAACAAGGCGAAAGTAAATATAGTATAGTCAATCTGTCATCTGTATTTTGAGGTCTGGCCTTCAAAAATGCAACATAAGAACTGCGAAGGAAAAGCAAWTCATAAAGATGAAATGAAAAGAAAAATGTAGAAGTTACCGATATTCTAGTCATGGTGTTCGTAATTTCTCATTTCAAATGTCCACCATCGTGATTCTAGCTCCCAGGCTGCCTCGGGCAAAAAATATTACAGCTTGCATAGCGTAACAGGGCTATGTTTTCTGCGCAAATTGCGTCGCTTTCACCTTAAATAACAGCGTCCCTTCTCAAAATGATGTGCCTTGTACCTCTATAACTTCTGTATAAAGTCTGAAAATCAATAAATCTTCAGTTTTCTGGGAGTTTCTTAATCTTGGAAAGCATTTTTTGATATTGATGTAATAATATTAAATACCAAAGTCAAAAATAGACCAAGTTGTCCGATTCAATAAAAAATCCTTTGATGTAGTGTTTGCCTTCCAAATATTATGATATCAGCCGTCGATCATCAATACCCAGAGTAACTGTCGGTCGTGCGTTCTATATTCGCCCAGGCATGACCTCTTTTGAAATAGCTATGCTTATCCCTTATCCCTAAATATATTCCTAGTGCAATGTTTATGGTAGTAGATATATCGCGAGGAAATACCCGAAGAAAACAGGAAGCTAACGATTGAATAATGCACTGGTTTAGTATCTCAAGCGGAACTCCCACAATTCCTATCCGTCTCACATTGACCAATCCAAATATCAACGTTCATACTGATTGAAAATGGGTGTATGTTATGAAACTTATCTAATACATAGTTAGATAGACAATCAGGATAGGTCTAAGCATATCGGTCACGGCGGATTTCCGACGCTTAACGTCTAATAAATTGAAGCATCGGGGCATTCAGTTCACAGCTTTCTAACATTGTCGATGCAGGTTTCAGAGGTTTCCAACGTCTTTGACTTTGCCGTTTACCTTTGAAACGATAGCACTGGACTGGAATCATCGAGATGAATCCAAATAGATGGTTTGGCTTAATTGTGGCCGGACTGTGTTTTACCTTAAGCTTTGTTTTGTCAGGTGGTCAAGGTAAGCCATTGTAAAGCTCTGTTAACATTCTTCGTACCTTATGATAAATTATAAGTTTTGTTATTTTTTCCTTGGTGATTAAGAAATTAAAGGAAAGTATAATAGACTAAAAAAGAGACCAAAGTAACCTTTGAATTGGAGACATAAGTAAGTTTTGAGATACGTGATATAGATTGAACTTATATTGCGCAGTCAAAAAGATTCTTTTAAATGTGTTTTTTTTGTTTTCTTCTTTTTCGTGAAAAAAGGAATGTTTCTCATATTTTTATGAACTTAGCAATATTTTCAGACGTGCCAAAAGGTTCAATTAATGACGCATCACTAACTAGCTTTGCTAAATAGGACAAGAAAGGTCTCAAGCTGTATAGCTTGACAGATATGTACGCCAAGTGGTGTCGTCTTTTTTCAATGGCCAGAGAATTATGTTGACTTAGTTGACAGTAGAAAACCTTGAAAACTAATCTATGATGTAAGCCCTTAAGTGTTTGTTATGAAAACAAGGACACGCGACAGAAAATCAATGTTGGCAGAAATCTACTCGCGAAAAATCGAAAGGCTTTTGAACCATCAGGCAACTTGCATGTCAAAACGTAAACGTTCCTTTCAAGACCGATTTAGCAATTTAAATTGACGAAATGGATATCTGAATTTGAAATGTTTTCCTGCCGATTTTGGTATAGAGAACTGATAAAAAAATGAAGACCTTTCACCTTAATTTTAACGGGTGTGGAMCGGTATCGCATAAAACAGTTGGTCATCGCGTGCCACTAAAGATCAAATACTTAGGAACCATCGGTATCCAAATCCTATATATTTCGAATATATCCACTTTAATGAAACGGCAAACTTACAGCTATTCTAGGCATTCTTTTCGCACGTAATACAAACTAGCTCGCTTATCAAATAATAAATATTCATTATTTCATCCCATATGCTGAAGATATAGTTTATATAGGAATCAGTGACTTTTTGCGTCGCCATTGATGCGATGTCAAACTCTGTCTTTAGAAGGAAGACAGCTGAATGTGGGAGCTGTATTTGTTTGACACTGTCAGAGAGACTAGAGAAGGGTCTTTTTGGTCACTCAATATTAAGAGTCTTAAGTCTAAATAGAAAATCGTTACTAAATCTGGTTGTCTGGGATGCCCAAGTAAAAATATACATCCCACTGATCTCAGAAAGCAAATTTTCATTGGCTTTCATTATTTTTATTGGCAATTTTTTTGTCGATGCAGTATTGGGCTTCCAATGTATCAATTTCAGAGCCTCGTCGAGAGCACACTTCGAGTTTTAGTAAGTGCTTAGAGATCCCTTGAAAAATAAACGCATGTCAAGAACTACTTAGCAATCTTCAGAAGTGTTTACAGGTTTAGGAGTTGTTAAAACGCAACCTAGTAAACACATCAAGATTTTTTTATGCCACGCGTAGGTACACTTGAAGAAAATTTCCTATTGACATCAGTCAAATGTAGATTATTTAGTGGTTATCCAATAATCCCTTTCATTCCTCTTTGGCAAAGATATCCCCGCTGTCTAGATGTGATAACGATGGATATCATGTCGCGGACGGGTCACTGCTTGTTAGATGTTTGAAAAAAGAACACGGGGATGTGTTAAAATGTGCTGGAAGTAGACATGATTAATGTACAATCAACATTAATATAGTTTCCCTTTTCGTTTGGCCTGTTTATTTTCTTTTTAAATCCCCCACAGCAAACAGATAATAATAGCAATGTGTGTGTGGTGTGTGCTTTTGCGTATCTTGAACGAAAATGTCATCTGCTGCTAATGATGTCCTATAAACAATAAAGGTTAAATCTTATGGAACGAAGCATGTGATTTGAGCATACCCGAATTGTCAACCATTTCTGAGTCATAGAGATTTTTATCCTATTTTCATTTCATTTCTCTTTTATCTTGAATCCTCGAGCTTTCTTCTTCATGAGTATTCGTCTATTCTCATGGTTACTTTCTCCCATTCGTTTTACATACATATATAGCCAACTAAAATTTGCATTTCAATGTCTTCTCCATTCATGTTCAACTTTGTTCAATTTTTCCCAGTACTCAACACCTATCTTTTACCCAGCCATTTCTGCTTTGTCTAATCGATATATATGTCGAATGCGATATATGTCGATCGGTTATCGAACTATCCTTTGCATACAAATGACGTTGCTTTTATGAATTTTAGAGCTTCTTTGTACCAAACCTACGGATTTAGGCATTCTATTGGATACCTCAGCAGCCCTGGAAAGCAAATGGCAGAATGTTCTTCGATTCACTACGACATTGATTGAAGGATATGATATTGGTTCAATGAAGACCAAAGTCAGCATTGCTACATTTGGTGGAGGCAACCGACAAGTCAACTTAAGATTTGATTCCCTTGAAGGTAATGATTTTGATAGCTGTATACAATCCTCTGGTACAACTCCAAAGAGGAGCTCGAGAATCTGTACTTTGTTCCCATCGAGACGCCACAGGAGAGCATTTTGTCCGTTTTGTACCCAACACTGTACCTTTTTGTCCGTCGGAATTTTCAGCCAGAAAGCTACCATACAAATGTACCCAGTGTGACATAAATCAGTTATTCGTTACGATTAAGGAAATGTTTGGTTCGTGAGTATGGAGATTTCATTACATCATAAAATATGAAACTAACTATGAATTGAGTTGCGCAAAAAGAAGATAACTATTTTCTTTTGTTCACGAAATCAAGTAACAATTTTTCGTTATTAGGACGCAATCTTACTATGCAAGCAGTCAAAGATGAAATTTCTGATATCACTGTAACCAGAAAATCAGAAAGATTCGTCGACGAAGCACTGGCATTTGCTAATAACGAAATGTTTAGCACTGAGAAGGGAATGAGGGATGACCAAACAGTATCGAGGGTAACTATACCAAAAAAGGCTAAATTATGACTATATAACTGTATAGCACAGTATTATTACATTTATCAGATGCTGCTATTCAAATATATGACCTGACAGGATGGAAAAAATTGCATAATGTGAATTGTGAAAAGAATAACGAAGGAAAAATATGAAAAAAATATTCAAGATTCGTATACGATACTTGTGGAGACAGATATCTTTGTATCCGGATAGAAAAATATCGGAAAGAAAAATCCCTGGACTAGTGTGGACGGGGCGTTAAAATAGAACCTTGTGCGGTGTTGGACGGATAAATTATTAGGATAACATAAACAACCGTGACGCATGCATAAAAGATAAAAGAACAAATAAAACAGGAAAATCTCCGCGTTATATTTCTAATCAGGTTTTAGTGGTCTTTCTCAATGGTCGTCACACTAAAAGTCCTGGAAAACCATCTGTTYCTCTGAATCTTGCAACCAAAAATCTTCGCATAAAAGGGGTCGATATTTTTGCTGTGGGCATACCGGAGGTATCTGGAGTTGATTTCAATGAGCTATCTGACATTGTTACCAAACCAGAAAATGCAATGACAGCAAGAAAATACGAGGAAGCAGCAATTTTAGCTGAAGACGTGGCAAAGATGGCTTGTGGTAAGAGGATGAACCTCTCTTAGTGATTTTTTCCCGGGGGGGGGGGGGGGGTACTCCTTAATATAAAAGGGCGGGAGTCCTCGTCGTCCCTTTTAGGGTTTGAAATCAGTGTTTTGGTCCCGCTTAGTGTTATAATGACGATAATTCCCACCAAAAATGTTTTGTGGTCGTCATAAACTCAATACGAGCCAACGGCGTTTGATGCTTGTCCAAAAACACAAATAAAATCGGGAAACCAAAACAAAACAACCGTTTATTGATTGGTCCCTCTTAGGGGTGAAATTTCAGCGCTGACACACCCATCATCTCACAATACAGGTCCCTTTTAGGGTCATTTTCAGGATTTCCGACGAGGACCCCCGCCCTTTTTTATAAGGGAGGGCCCCCCTCCGGGTTTTTTCTCTTCTACTCATAATAGAAGAAAATTTCTCACTTACATGAAAAATCACTAACACAAGGCTTAGTTTAGATATAACATTTATATAACAGGAAATAGACTATCAAATAATTCTAAAGCTTCTAATATCAATATTATCTGAAATTCTTATTTTTGTCTATAGGTATTAAAATTCTTGTGGTAAGTATGTATTGGGCCAGTTGCCATAAACATCCGTATTCCAGGTTTTAATTCTTTTTGTGACTGAATTGTTTGTCAAATGATTGCTTGACAAATTCTGGTCAAAGCAATGAATTTTGCATCGGTAAATTGCCTTGTTCATTAATATACATCCATGGTATTTGGAAGGTGTCACATAGAGATGCCATTAATAATGTCATTCTATTGTTTGAGTTCATGTCAACAGTAAAACAGGGTTTTACTGTACAGCTTTACATACTTTATGAGTTATTCAATATTGCAATGTTGTATTATATGCTTATGATATTGAATTATACATGCTCTTATTGCTTGTTATGAAGGCTGTATTGAAACAAACTATATTCTGCTATATATTCTTCTTATCGTACAAATATAATCAATTTGATGTTGGTTTGTCTTTTTTATGACATTATTATATTGTTTGATGTCATATTACCAAAGTTATATTAATTGAATATCATGTTAAGTAGTACCTGATGATGTCATGATCTTTTTGCTTGCTGGCTTTTGTACTATGCCATCCCATTGTCTTATTTCATTCCTTTATTCTTGTGTATTCTTATATAGGTTTATACTGAAACCATGCATTGCAGGATAATATATATATAACATCATTCTGCTGTTATATCAACAGGGCTTTACTGGATAACATCCACCCTGCTATAAGGGTTCATACAAGTTATGTTTTAAAGTTTCGCGCAACACCTGCAGTGCCCAAAGGCATCAGAGGACTGTGGCTTTTCTTATCTTTTATTGACAAATTATGGACCTCGCAGACAATGTGCAGCGTCATCATTTTGTGTACCAAAGCATGATGGGAGTTGTAGTTGTCGCACTTTTTTTAGTACCGTAAAACAATCCTCCTAATTCGTTTTTCTTTTCTTTACAAAATCATAGGGAGCGGTCGAGACGTTTTCACGAAGAAAACATTAAAACTGTTTTTAGTGAGATTTCTTAGGGGCTATAAAAAGAGGACAATTCCCATCATGCTTTTCTGTGGCAAAATGGCGTTGCTTTCACAAATGATTTCGCGCCCCGCCTTTACTCAAGTCCCCGGTCATACTCAATCATACGGCAGCTCATTTTTTATTGTGGGGTTTCTAATGATCTCTATTGAAGAGATAATGTTTTTCAGGGGTCTTCGAAATTGTTTCCTCTAAAGGGAAAGTGCAAGAAACCTTTTAAGCTTAAGATTAATTTAAAAGAATTTTTAAACACAAGATTCCTAAGTTTTGTAAGCTTAAGTTACTATAAGTTTTAGCTTACCTTTGATGCTCGTCGTGTCATATCATTCTCAAACGCACATATCTCATCTACAAGTCATCTCTACGAATCTCCATCACAAAGTCATCTCTGTTGTAGAAATATACTGATACAATTATACATTTTGCCACTGAGATATCCACTACACTATCCCAGCTATCCGATAACCTTTGACTGAATGTTGGTTGGGGCTCCTGTTCCTCATGGGTTTCCTGTGTTGCCATTTCCTGATTTAAAAAATGGCGGAGGTAATGTTTAAAATTTTTTGCTTTCGTCAAACTTGCAAAAATAAGATTGACTCTTATCGTATTTATATTGTTTATTATTTTATTGCTTTGAAAATTTAATGTTTGCAAGTTTGATGTGTTTCTTCGTGGCATAAGCGTTAAAATTAATGTTTTGTCATGTAAGTTTTATTACACGAGGAGCCTTTCCGTAACAAGATCATACTTCGAGGCATGTGACCTCTAGTTTTAGCGATAGCACAGATAGCTAGCTGCAGATAGAGAATTAGTAGAAGTTAACTTTCATAGGTAAGTCAATAGTCTTTCTATCAAGAGAAAATCCTAGAGGATAAAACATCCCTCTTTTTTGTTCTTATTTTGATAAGAGTACAAACTGACGGAAAAAATGAATAATTTGCAGTCCAGTATGATCTAAACTAAAATTTTAACTCGAAAGACTTAGAATTTATGTATGATATCAAATGGAGTCTAGAATGAAAGTGAAAATGAAATTGAAAGTGGATGGGAATCAGTACAAGACTTTATTAGTCACACTAAACTTAGATTTAGTTAGATTAGAACCCATCAATCTTATCACGTTTAGTATATTAGCTTTTTATTTTCATAGATATTTTGTCTTTTTGTGTGTGAATTTGTAGAAAATTCTAACAGAGCCAATGCAGTTTGCTGCAAAACGGTTTCTTGAGTTTGTCAACAATGGTCCATCTCCATTCCATGGTATGTAGAATTGTGTTATTATCATCATTATACTATATTTAGAATTATATTTGATTTTATTGTCAAAGTACTTAGGAAGTCATGAAATCTAACCGAAATGACAGGTTATTGATTGCCGTCAATCACTATTAGGGACAACGTCTCACCACTGACACACCTATCACCTCACAATGTAGGCCCCTTTTCGGTGACATTTTCAGAATTTCCAATGAGGACCCTGACCATCTCTTGAGTATAATCTATATTTGTTATAAAATTTAGTAGAAAGAAATAACCCAGGGCCATTTGAATAGGGGCAAAGGACATTATTGCCTAACTTATCTTGGTCTAGGGAAAAAAATTGAGTTTATTGTTTTACAAGCTCATGTTATATATTTTTTCATTTCAGTTGTCCATGAGTGCAGAAAAAAGCTTGTTGCTGCAGGCTTTCAAGAACTGAGAGAAAGAGACAAGTGGAACCTTCAGCCTCAAAACAAGTACTTTGTGACTAGAAACCAGTCTACTATCATTGCTTTTGCTATTGGTGGAAAGTTTAAGCCTGGGAATGGGTTTACTATTGTAGGAGCACATACTGACAGCCCGTGTCTGAAGGTACAAATAGATTTAGATGCATTCAGATTTATTAGATATATGGGTGGTCTGTGAGAAATGGTCCATTTAACCGCTATCCAATAGCAAAAGTGGCAGGGGGTATCAAAGTAAATAAGGGTGGTTTAGTAGGATCTGCTATTGATCCCTGTTGTGGTTCCTAGTCTGGTTGACATGAGTTGTGTTTTCCATTCTTTCCCTTGCTCCAGAGTTTTTTCTTCTTTTTTCTTCAATTTGTCCTTGCACTGTAAAATGAAGCAGTACCTTCAACCTGCTGTTGTTGGATATAAAAAGGAAGCAGTGCTATATCATCTGCAATTCAGTACCTTTACACCATGATCAAGGGTTATTAACCCTCTTCTATGGACTTTAGTAAGGAAATCAGGGGAAGTCATCCAGCAATTTACAGAAGGGGGAACTATGAGTCCTATATCCATCAACTGGAGGAGGCAGGTGGGATTAGGGGGTTGCCTCAGAAGATTTTGAAATTAAGATCCTGAGAAATCCAATTTCCAGCATTTTTAGGTATTTTTACAATGTTTTTTTTCCCCAATTTTTAAGCAAAAGGGTGGATGCCACCCCACTAGACCTGCTCTAACTTCTAAATGAAAGAAATTGAGTGAAGAAAATAAATTAAGTAGTAATTTTAAATAATATATAATTTTCAGGTCAAACCAGTGTCCAAAAGAACAAAATTTGGCATCCATCAAGTTGGAGTTGAATGCTATGGTGGAGGTATTTGGGGCACATGGTTTGATAGGGATCTAACAGTGGCTGGCAGAGTTCTTATTAAGGTATCCTTACAATTGATATAATATTTAACAATAAGATCATGCACATCTTCTGTACATTACGGAGCATAGTAAAGAAACAACCTCTGAATTTAAGTCATTATTAGAGATGGCATTAAGGCCCTGGAAGAGTAAAATGTCGTATTTCCTAAGGATATTGCCCTGATGTGCACACACAATGTATGACTCTCTATTCATCATTCATACCAGGGAAAGTTTAGAATGAAAGTCTAAATTTATAAATATTATAAATGATTCACAGAGAAATGACAAAATAGAGCATCACCTTGTCAAAGTTGACAAGCCCATTCTTAGAATTCCTCACCTGGCGATTCACCTTCAAAGAGATATCAATGACAAGTTCTCGCCCAACAAAGAAACACATATGTAAGTAATACTTGGTACCAGTACAGATTTTACATGGCTCTACAACATGATTTTACATGGCTGTGCAACAGCAAACTCATGACTTGGTCATGACTGTTATCTCACCTGGTATAGTCACAGTAGACAGCATTGAAGTGCAACAAGATGACGACTCCACTACAGAACAATTGAAACACAAGAGCACTGCATATTGTTGTCATTGAAATCTGCTCTTTATGATTGTATACCATTAATTGACTGATAATTATCAGCTCAATACATTCCTTAGGGTCCCTATATTAGCGACATCCATTCAAAATCAGCTTAACGACTCACCTTCTGAAGACAAAGAAACAAAGAAACTTTGTAAGGTAATGTAAAGTGTAGCCAAAGTGATAATAGTCATCTTACGTTGCATTGGGTTTGAGGATACCAAGGGGATGCACTGATGCACTGTCTTTTTGCAGCATTGTTTAATTTATTCATGCCACAATTCCTGTGTCCAAGCTCACCAAAGTTAAACTGTGTTTTACAGGCTGACTCTCACCATTCACTCCTAATGAGTGCAATTCTGAAAAGCCTTGACTTTCAGTGTAGTTCAGAGCAAGTGGTAGACTTTGAACTTTGTTTGGCCGACACACAACCTGCTGTAAGTGATGCCAGATTAAAATTGTTATTTATGTTATTTTTTAACTTATTAATTACATGATTTCATTTTTCTATTCAGGTGCTGGGAGGAGCATTGGATGAATTCATTTTCTCACCAAGACTGGACAATTTAGTGAATGCATTTGCAGCATTAGAGGTTTCAATTGTCAAATTACAATTATAATTATAGTTGATGTTCAAATTTATAGGGGGGGAGGGGGGCACCCTAAAATATATTAACATACTAGCCTTGTTTTACCTATACCATTATATTACTCGATTCATTTTTGCAAAAGCAGATGTATATCTAAACCATGCTATAATTAATTGTGTATTATAGGGACTTATTTCATCTTTGGAAGGAGATAGCTTAAACCAAGACCCTAATGTGAGGCTGATAAATCTCTATGACAATGAAGAGGTTAGTTTTAAAGTGTATTTACAGCAGTCAGCAAATTATTATTTTCAAATATCAAGAATTGTCTACCAACTGCTCTATTCTTACTTTACATTGACCTTGCCCTTCAACTGGAGCTCTTCACTGGTGTATATGTCATGTGTATAATTAAACATATTGGTATTGAACATATTGGTATTTGTAGGTTGGGTCTCAAAGTGCACAAGGAGCATGCTCAAGTCTTACAGAGATCATTCTAAGAAGACTCTCAGTAGGTCAGTAATAATGGACATGCTGGGGTTGTAATCTGAACTGGTTATCAGAAATACTCAATTCTAAAATGTATAGGAGATAAAACAAGTTTTGAAGAGGCTATTCCCAAGTCATTGTTGGTCAGTGCAGATCAGGCACATGCAGTTCACCCAAACTACTCGTAAGTATTGAACTACGACACTGTGTGACTCTAATTTTTGAAATTATGGACAAGGCTTCCCTTTTTGGTGCCTGAATGCCTCAATGAGGAGAAAATGCAAATATTCAGGACTAAATGTAATAACAGCATATTCAACTTTCTTTTGCTTCTGATAAAGCGAAGGAATCTGATATTAAAATTATAAACAGTGTAGGTTATATGCTTTGAACTGGAAAAAGTAGTATTGTAGTTGTTCAGTTAGTGGAAAACCCTTATGCATTAGCTGCAAACCACTCTTTGATTAATTACGTCATGTTTTACAAAATTTTGTAGTGAAAAACATGAAGAAAACCACAGGCCACAGTTCCACAAGGTTCAGGAAAAAACTTGTTTGTATATATACTGTATTAGTAAACTGTGTACTACACTACGTTCATGGCTGTGCACATGCCTGTGCTTAAAAATGTAGTTTTTGCTTCATTCTTTTAGGGTCCAGTGTTAAAGTTCAATGGTAATCAAAGATATGCCACAACAGCCATTACTGCAAGCATTCTCAGGCTTGTTGCAGAAAAAGTTGATATCCCACTGCAGGTGATAATTATAGTTTGGTTATCTAAAATAGACTTTTCTTGTTCCAATGTTCTCTATGCCAACAGTCCACTACAATATGCAGCTCTAGTATAGACAATAGACACCTTGTAGTTCATAGGAATTCGCAGCTCAGAAGAGGACAAAACAGAGGATTCTAATTCCTACAAAGGGAAAAATCTTTTGCTTTTGTCCTCCAGATGAAGCTGATTTAATGTCAAATAGTGGTCTCTAGGTCTGTTAACTTCCTACTTTATTGGTTGAATTGTTTGCAAATGATCACAGCCTGGCAAGTAGAGGACCATCTTTAAAATATGGGCATGAAGTCAACATGACCATAGCTCATAGCAACGGCTGTATTTTCTATCTAAAGGCTGTAGATAACACACAAGGTAGTACAAATGACTCATTTTTCTATTTTAGGAAGTTTGTGTGAGGAATGATTCCCCCTGTGGTTCAACAATTGGTCCTATCTTATCAGCAAAGCTTGGTATGAGGACTGTAGGTAGGTGCAAAACCATCTTGTTAAACTCCTCTGGACTTGTCCTTTAGTAGTTTCATAGTTTTGTACACATTTTGAAGGGTAAGTTGTGTACACCACACAAAAACAATAACAATGTGTGCATTGTTTCTTGGCAGACATTGGAGGACCACAGTTGGCCATGCATTCTATTAGAGAAATGTGTTGTGCTTCTAGCATCTACCAGTGCTCAACTCTCTATAAGGTATTACTGTATGCTCAAATTTGACATAAATGTGGTATAGATGTGTGGCTAGTTTCTACCTTTTTTTTCAATATAAATACAATGTATTATGTTGATGACAGACTTCTTCACAGTTCCCTTCACCATGATCTTGAAATGTAATTATCAAGGCTTTGCATTGAAGCGAAATGATTGGTAAATGTGCAATAATAGACACCTGTGAGTAATTGCCTGAAGTTGTAAAAGAAGGTTACCATCATTGGACTCTCAACAGCCTTGCTTTGATGTGAAGGCATAGATACATTTCAAGATGACAGAATGAACCACAAAGGGGCCTATTCTACTGTTTCCTTGTCAATATTAACATCAGAACAACTGTTATTGATGAAATACACACACATACACTAAAAACATATCTATGAACATGATTTACATGCTGCATTGCCCCTGTTTGATTTAATGTTGTGTTTAGCAATCATCTTTAAAGCCTTTTATTTGGGCTTCCTTTGGAAGGAATAGAAAACCCAACAAGGACAGAGAAGACGAGACTGTGTTTGGTTTTTAAACATAATTCATTTGTCTCAACAGGGATTTTTCCAGCACTTTCCAGAAATTGATGCTTCGTTGGTGGAAATTTAAGCTGTAGTAATAACAGCACACTGAAATTATCCTTTTGAATTGCTAGCCTACATAAATAGTAGATTGAAAATTTATTCACATTACTATGAAGATCAAGCACTTAAAGTATGCAACATTGGTTTTCATGTGATGTAACACTGTCCATTTATGCATATTGGTGATCTTTGACAAAGAAATATTTTTATATCAGCAAATCTTAGAATAGAGTGGGTCAGTCAGGTCGCAGCGCCAAAGAACATTGCTGGTAATTGGTTGGCTTGACTCTAAAGAATGAGGCATAAACAATAGAGCCTATTGTTCTAGCCAGCCAATTATGATGACTTTATTTAGAGCTGCGACACCTCTGAATAGAGTAGTTTTCCCCAACTGTGAAATAGTTTAATACAGAAAAATGAACAATTTTCATCTGCAGCCATCACATACAACCTGTGTAAGTCATCCTTGCAAGATGGCTACAACTGTAGGGTTAAATAATCGTTTTGAATCCCTGCAACACTCATATCCATGTTGTAAAGGTGACTTATGCGGCTCGCATGCAATTGTTGCTAGTATAGAGCTAGTTCTATTAAGTACTACTGCATTGATTGCTCACATCACATTCTCAACAATAGTTCAAATTTGGCTTTATGTAAGCTTCGGCTTCTTTGTTATAAGCAATCTGATGAGCATTTCCACCAGTAAACTTTTAATAATGGTACTTCATTATAGTTTAATATATAGTATAATAAATTATATGTTCACCATTATAATTACTGTATAGATTTTAGGGTTTATTTGCAAATTTTGTATGAACTGATTCAATAAAACTGTTCAAATGCAATCCTGTTCTGCAGATGTTATTATTGGGAACAGAATTTCTGTGAACACATCACTGGGAGGAGGAGGTTTAGAGGGATGGATGACAACTAATAGTGAACAATGAAATGTTTATTGGAAATCATCTACCTTACAATGTTTTCATTACCGGTAACACTAAATGTATGTACATAATAACCGCTGTAATCTGGTACTGTAATAATAATATATATATTTTACAAGATCATTTCAAATAAAGAGCAGTGATAATCATAATATTATCTGAATCTAAAGGCAGGAAACCTGAAATTCAAAAAATAACAATATTGCGTGTTTCACGTTATGTCAAATGTAATTGTTTGAAGTGGAATTTTTGTTGGTTAATATTTAAAAACTAGTGCTGATTATTGTATGGGATAAAAGTTGCAAAGAAATGCAATCCATCTTTGAAAGCTATACATTGTTAATTATCCTGCGGGGAATATACTTTAAGTAATTATCAAGGAATAGTAGCAATATGTTTTTACCATACTGTTTGAAAGACATACTATTATATACAGAGAAGTCTTGAATTAATGAAAAATGTCACGATACATTTTGCCAAAATAATTATAGAAACAGAATCCACAAACTATGATCATTGCTCTCATAAATGTATGGTATATGTGACCTGGGTACGTTTGGAAACCTCTGCTGTCAGTGTCCTTAGAGGTTTCATATAGCAGGCTGTGCTGAGGCAATAATTAATTCTGATAAAAAAAAATACTGGTGGCCCCAAAACATTCTCCATACAAAGAAAAGTTGTTATTAGCTGATAAAATACTCTTTATCTCCATGCCTGTACATTTGCTGGAAGGGTGTGCCCTGTTGGCATGACAACAGTTATACTTGGTGAGGTGAATACAGCAGCATGGGATGACTGCTGACCATCTTGGACGGCAACGCTCATTCCAACACCATCCATATTTGGAACTCCCTGCACCATAGTCTTATCTTTAGCTGATAGGCTGAGAAGTGCATTGATTGTAGGGTCAGTGATAGCTGTATTGCCAACAGTGTAGGCTCCTCTAGCAGCAGCAGCCTGGAATGATGCAATATTGGCTGCGGCAACAGCTGCAGCAGCAGCTTGATGATCATCATTTAGTTGATTTGGGATGAATGCACCATAAAGTGCACGTACTGAGGACTCATCCTCTCCACCTGTTGTAGTGGCTGCCACATTATCTGGAATGTAATAAAAACTTTATCTAAACTTCAGATGTTACATACAAGGTTGAAAGTTTTTGCAAACAAGAAAAAGTGTTTCTTGTAATTTGCATTGAGAACAGTATTTTCCACTTACCATATGGCTAAAAAAATAACCTTTGTGTTTAAATAGAAATATATTTTTTGACTATAAAGTTGTATGATCCCCCAAAAAAGCACCCAAACGTAAGAAAATAACTTATAAAACAACGCCTATTAATACCTGTCCCTTGTTGAAGCATTTCAGTCACAACAGCAACTGGTTGCTCTTGCACAATAGTTTGAGGATGACCTTCTGATGAATGTTGTACTTGTCCCTCTTCAGCAAATGTGACATCTGTAAAACAAAATCAGTTATGTTTATTGAACTAAGTAACTGATGCTGCATCCTCCTTACCATGTCCAAGATACAAATCAATATAATCTGGAAAAAACTTAATATACATGCTAGACACTTGGAATGAAAGTTTCATGTGGTTATAAAAGATATCTCAAGTGATCATTTCTGTTTCTGATGGCTATTTATGACTACTTGAGTTCAGAGAAAAATTATTATAAAAAGTTCAAGTATCATTCCATGGAATGTTCAAGTATCATTCAGAAGAGTTGTAACATGAAAAAGTGGTTTATATCCAATAACCTTATTATAAGAGCAGAATTGTTCTTAAGAGAAAATTGAGAAAACCTACCATCTTCTGAAGCAGAAACACCATCTTGCTCACCATGTCCACCATCCTCAGTGTCACCATTTCCAGATTCTGAGCCTCTGGTTTCTTTGTTGCTATAGTACTTGTCTGATCGACGTTGCTTTTTGCGCAAGTCTTTCTGCTCAATTTGAAGGGAGACCTGATCATTTTGCACCCTGACCAGCTCTTCCTGAAATTCTGCAACCTGTATATATATATCAATGATATAGAAAAGACAGATGATTCATTGTACACTCTACAAAAGCCAAACATATCACCCATTTCCTCTACAAGTGCAGCTTCATGAATGCAAAACAATCTTCTCCATAACAAAAACATCAATAATTCTAATGCATGAAATCACAGTAAATACCTGAGCTGTATTCATAATTGCCCTGGACTCCTCAATTTTTCTTGCAATTTCATCTTGGATTTCCTTATTTTTCAATAATAAGTCATCTATTTCTGTCAGTCTTTCTATTCTCTTGTACTTATTCACTAGTGATAGGTGTGGTTTCTTGCCTGCATGAGAATCATAATCTTTTAAGATAAGTGATTTAATATTAGTATCTAGACAGATATAGCTGACAACAAAGAAACTGCCGAGAGTACTAGTGTCATCCACTGAAACTTCTTTGTAAGCCACTTGTCACAACAGACCATTTCAGAGATGCACAGATACTTTCAAAAACATCGTCAGGGAGCACATGTATGAAACTGTGAAGTTCAGAACACTCCTGGCGGGAAATACAGTACATCATTTTCATTTGTACCATTTTTAAAAGCACTCACACATCTCTGTTGTAAGAAAAGTTTCATGGTACATTACAGTACACTGTGCAAAATGGAAACCACTGTCGCCAAGTTCACTACAAAAATATTCAATGGTTATATGGAAACCAGGCTTTAAAACACAGAGTGCACTGCACTGTGAAACTTCTCTAGCAAGTATCAGCATGTAGTGAACTCTTTATCCTTCATAACATAAAAGCTTTCAAGACACCCCTGCACATCCCAGCGTGTACATGTACAGTGTGACAAGAATTGTGACCAATGACACATCTGGTATTAGCTGATTTTAGAATCATACAAGGAGAGAGCTAATCAGAATTATCCTCAACTAGAAAACTATTGTGATAATCAAATTCATCATAGTTTGTTTATAAATTGATTGCAACTCTAAACTATAATATCCTTAATTCAAAAGAGAAGCTTAGCCAAAGAGATATCATCTGGGCAACGCATGCATATTATTGTGCCTATATGTGCACTTTCCATTTATGACACCAATACACGTGACTCCATATTTGCCCTGAACTCGAAGATAAACAAACAAAACTACAATATTTTTTCTGGACGGAAACAAGAAAGGAAATTGTCAGAGAAAACAGTGCCTCTTTTACTTCTAGCCGTGAATAAAAAGACAAAAATAACACCATAGCCAAGTGAAGAATATACGTTTAAGCTTACTTAACCTTATTTGTTCTTGTCAGTTTCTATCTTCAGTTGTAAATCGAATTCACTCAAAACAATAAATTGCTGTATAAATAACTTTTACAAGAAACTTACTTCCATCAGTTATCATTTGTGATGGATTTCCAAGATACTTGGACCTTGAATGACCATGCACATAGGTGAAGCCACTCTCTCTTACTACACGCCTTGCCATGGTAAACAACTCGTCTCGGCGAACGAGAAGAGTAGGGTCACGAAGACAAAGCTGAGCCGCTGCTTCGTTTATCATTTGCTCGTGGCAATTCAACGATGTACTCTTTCTTTTTTTGTCATCACGGCCATAGATTCGCGAATGCTCTCTGATCAGTTGCTGCCGTTCAGGATCGAGTTTTTCCCAGTCAATGATCACGTCCATTGGCGGGAGTTTCAGCTCTACAACTCGCTTCTCTGGTGTCGCTTTATCGGAAGAACTGCTCGAAGACTTTCGCTTGAGCGACGGAGTTGTAATTGTTGGGGTTGTAACGATGGTTGTTGCTGTTCTAGATACATTTGGTGATTGGTTTGGAGTCCAACCGTCAATCCAAGAGCTGTTTTTGTCCGGGGTTTGGTCCCCTTGGCGCGCTTTCTTGGCTTTCCATTCCACCAAACATTTTTGCAGCCTTCGCACATGTAGTGGTTTAGCCGCCATTCCAACCAAACTAACCATCTCTTTGAATTCTTCTTCGGTTGCATCGCAAAACTGATGGATATCATCGCCTCCCTGCTCAATGAAGTTACTGTAGTAGTCGAGAAGGTTTGCCGATTTCAGCAGGTTAAAAAGTTCTGCCTCACTCTCCTTGTGTGCTGCTGGAGTGGCCATTTTTTACCTTTCTCCCCTCCCTCTCGAAGGCGAAGCGATTGCAAAAGAACAGAACCCAATGTATGGTCCACCCCCTTAGAAGTTTCCTATCTCGATTCCTATTGGTTTATAGCTAATACCCTTCATCTGATTGGCTAGAATTTGTCTTCAAATATTCCCATTGGGTGGGAGGACGCTACATGATTGACATGTGGCTGGGTACATTGCCGGGGATAGGATAGCAGATGTATCGAATGTCATAAAATCGCAGTCAGAACGACAGTCAGAACGCATAAAAAATGTTGTCGCATAAAATGACTTTAACGCAATTTAAAACTCATTTGAATTATTTGCATATTTACTAGTGTTACGGAAGAGTAACATAAGGGAAATTATCGTAAAAACGTAAAAATGGCTATTCTTTTGGAGATTGCGTGACAAACAATGAATTATGCATATCCTTTTCACATAAGCGTCCATCAGTCTCGAACAGAAGTGAAATTTGGTTTTACTACTCGGTAGATGGTAGTAAATATGGCTACAAAATCTAAGAAAAGGGAAAATGCTCAACGCTTTGCATTAAGTGGTCTTTCAAACATGTGTGCAGCCTCGGGTAAGCAGCATTTCAGTAACAAACCTCCTATAAAACATCGAAAAAATTACTTGCAACTTTGCGATCCCTTTTAATATTGTTGCAAATCCATCAATATTTGTTTACATAGTTTATATACATGACATCTTGACGAGTTTTGATTCATCGACGTTTTTTTTTATGGTATATTTTTTGTCATTTGGAATCGAATTAAAGAATATAGATGACGTGCTTTAATACAAACAGCCGAAGATCGGCAATGCTGCGTGGTTTATTTTGGTACGCAGTTCACTTCGGTTGATGCTGGCCTGCATGTCCGTGCAAAGTCATCCAAATGTTTTTAAGCTATGTTGGTAAAATAAAAGACATTTTAAAAGTAATTTTGTCTAGTGGTGTCACGCTAATTAGCGTGACACTGATAACCGCTGCGTAGGAGACTAATACTCAACTAGACGCTCTGGGAGCGTGAAGTCGGACTAGCTGCTTGTGAAAATTGAGAAAGACAGGATATTACATGGATAAAAATATTTCTTAACTTTAAAACAGCCGAACTCACGGTCTAATAAGAGCGTCTAGTTCAAAATATGCAAAATTTATTGAGACTTTAAATAAACTTGACCTAAAAGGTCATGTAATTAAAGCGGCGATAAGAACGTGGCTTGCTTTGACTGATAATCAACTACTCAGACAAATGTCTCGCTAAGTGATATATGATATCTAAAACGTTGACCTCTCAGGCAAAGAAAATAAAAACTTAACAAGGAAAAAGATGCCTATAAAATCATTAAATTCGCCTTTCTGTTATTGATAAACAAAGTTTCTTCTTGTTATAATTTGAAATCTTTGCCCCCACAAGACTGTCTAACACTAGAAAGGATATTGATTCAGTTTTGTAAGCATACAACTCGAAACTCTATGCGATCTGCACATGCGCGTACTTCTAATGCCTAGACAGACGCATTCCGATGAGATCACAGATACCACATTTGTAAACGAATAGTTTTTTTGTCATATAAAAGCCAAGTGGCATATAACATTTACTAACGATATTCGTACATCAATACGCTTCAGCTTCCGGTCATGTAATAACACAGCCAACCCAACAGTTAATTATTAAATTCTTAACTTCCGGTGGTCCAAACGCGACATAATACATAGATAGGCTAAAAGGTAAATTTAAAGTCGGACCGCCTTCGGCTAGTCCGACTAATTAGTAAGTCTTCATTCGATCCTACTATTATTTGATTCAGGATGCCAATGCAAACTCCTGTACTCCATCATAATGTATTCCAGATTACAGCCATTTATGGAATCGGATCCATTGACTGGGACTCCTGATTCCAACCTGGATTCCTGCGGATTCTGGATCCCCCGATCCCGTTGCGGCGAAAACATCATGACGTCATGATGTTAGGTATGAGTGGAAAGATCGAAAGTGCTTTAGACTGACGGAAATTTACGAATAGGGATGTAGCCGATCGAATTCTTTTAGATCAGGTTTTTCCTCAACTCAGGGATAGGGAATGTCAAGGCTAAAACATTTCACTGGCTTCTTTTTTTTTCCTTCAGTAACAAATCCAATTGATGTCATCAAAATTCGAATGCAGTTGGACAATGAGCTTAATTCTCGCCACGCTGGCAACAATATTTTCAAGAATCGCTACTATAAAGGGTTTCTGCGAGGTGGCATTAGGATCTTTAAAGACGAGGGGATAACAGGCTTATATAAAGGGTTAGTATAGTATATACACAAAGGGGTTGTAGGGCATGTGTAGCTCTCCCCTACCTCTAGTCCTGCAGCGCTCTCTAGTCTGGTAAAAAAATCAGGGGTGCCCTCTAGTCTGGTAAAAAAAAAATCAGGGGTTCACCTTTACAACTCTTCCCATACATTCTGTGTTCATTTTAACAAATAAACTGCATTCGAATTCCCGCAAGACGTAAGCTAACTTATTGAGAATATTATTGTAATGTTTTCATATATTCTTGTAGGCTCTTTCCCTCTCTACTTCGGGAGGCATCATACAGCACTATTCGTCTTGGCGCCTACGAACCAATCAAGGTCTCCCTTGGTGCTCTCGATCCAGCCAACACTCCGCTATGGAAAAAAATAACTGCTGGAGCAATATCAGGAACAATTGGCAGCACCATTGCCAATCCTACAGACTTAGTTAAAGTCAGATTTCAGGCAGTTGGGCCGGGTCAACCAGCAAGATATAGAAGTACTTTTCAAGCATTTGCAGTCATAGTGCGTGAGGAGGGGGTGAGGGGGCTATGGACAGGCGTTGGTCCAACGGTTCAACGCGCAGCGATATTAACAGCGACGCAAATTCCCTCCTATGATCACACGAAGCATACGCTGATTAATCACAAAATCATGAAAGAAGGACCGCCTTTGCATGTTGTGTCTTCGTTTGTTGCAGGACTTGTCGCTGCAGGTGCCACCTCCCCTGTCGATGTAGTAAAGACGCGAATAATGAATCAAGCTACAGATAGCAAGGGACGGCCCAAAATATATTCGGGAATAACTGATTGCTTTATCAAAATTATTAAAAATGAAGGTTTTTTGGGACTTTACAAAGGATTTATACCAAACTGGATGAGAATAGGTCCACATACTATTGTGACATTTTTTGTCTTTGAGCAACTCCGAAAACTAGTGGGAATGAAACCTGTATGATAAACTTTCTAATTTTATTAAAATCCCGCAATGAATCCAAAGGTTACTATTTATCACAAAAGATCTAATAAACGTTCTATTTAAGTAAAATTCTTCTCTATTTTTTTCAATTTTTTTTTTCATTTTGACATCTTTATTGCTCATATTGTTCTTATTCTAGTATTGTGCTATTTAACAATTAGACCTCGAGGTCGATTAAATCGTAGTCCACGAGGCCGAGAGGTCTAATTGTTTTAGTATAAACATACTAATCGGTCAAATAATGAAAACAAATTGAAATATCCTTAAAATAATTTATTAATGAGATGCCGCCATTTTGATTTTCCCTCGAGTAGTCTATCACAAATTAGACCATTAGTAGAGTAGCCAATCACAGCGCAGTATGAGTGATAGACCATTAGTATGTTTATACTAATGTTTTATATAATACTTTACATGAGTTTGAATGAAATGGTGGTAGAATGTAGGATCTGTAGGTTCAGTAATAACAGTATGCATACTGCACACCATTCCATTTGTGGTGCGTGGGAGGCTCGGTTCAATTTCTATATCACGTGATAAGTCAACTACGTCATTCGTTCGATCAAGTTCGTCGAAGGAAGGGAGTTCTTTCTCAAAGTGAACAAGTGAAAGTTTCCGTATTTTCGCGTTTACAATGGCCCAACCTCAACCACCGCCATATCAAGCCCAAGATCCCTACAATAAGGGAGCCTATCCGCCACAACAGCCAGGATATCCACAACAACCAGGCTACCCACCTCAAGGCTATCCTCCTCAAGGCTATCCGCCACAGCAAGGATATCCAGCTCAACAAGGAGTACAACAAACTACGATCATACAACAACAGCCTGTGACGACAATTGTAACTGGGGCTATGTTTGGAGAGGCTCCAGTATCAATGGTGTGCCCTCACTGTCGAGCAAGCATCATAACAGCCACTGAATATGTCCCTGGCACATTGGCATGGATCATCTGTCTTGTGCTCTTCTTTCTTTTGTAAGTAGCTTTAATTTGAAGTCACTTCTCAGCGGCATAATGTATTTGTCAACATTATGGGTGGTTGTCGTTTATCTTCTGTGATGTTTAAGTTGATTATGATTTGTTTCATGGTGCTTCATTTAATAACGTTGTCATCAAAGCCTTCAAGTTCTGCATTTAGGTCTTTTTATCCAAATATTCTGACGTGTAGATGTTTAATAAAAAATGTTTAAAAGGAAATAACTGTCGAAACCGTCGTAGACTAATAAATGTATAGATAGATAGATGAATGTCGTAGTTCAGGTGAACAAAAAATCTGATTATTTTGATTTCACATTATCGCTGTATTGACAACAGCTAGGCTGTAACCTCGTTCTTTAATCTCTCGTTTCTAAATATGTGATCGTATCAAAGTTTTAAAGTGTATTGAAGTTTATTGCGTAGTAGCTGCTCCAGTTACTTAATAGAGATCATGTTTAAGTGTCCCATCTGGAGTAGACGAAAGAAGTTAGCAAAAAATTAAATACAACTGACCCGGAATGTATGCAAATATATGACGACATGGTTGGTAAGACAACACAACATGGCCAACTTCCTTGAGTTATATCACGAAAATTTTCCTTATGATATTACTTTGAAAACTCAGAGTAACCCTAAAAAAGATTAAAAATAACAGTACAATCACATGTGATTTGAAGGAATAATTAAGTCAATCAAGAGTATTTTGCAGAATCAAATATTTTCTCATATTCAGATTGGCTTGGTCAATAATTTTTCGTTACTAGAAATATGGTGATGATGTTGATTGTCAATATATTTGCTCAGCTGTTGATGAGATCTGCTTTTTGACATATGAACTGTAAATGTACGTTCAGATGAATATTCACGGCTGGTTTTCAGGTTAGGGGAAGGAGTTTGAAAAGCAATTGGGAAAGTTGGTTATTGAAGGCAGCCAAAAACAGAAGAGAAAAATAGTATGGAAAAATATGTATGTTTTACAGACTGCATCAATATACAGTATACATGTACATGCATATAGGGATAACAAGACAGTTTTAGTCATTTTCAAAAGGTTAAAATTTTGGTTTAATTTTTCAATTAAGTTAAGCAACTGTAAATGCTTTAGTACAAGATTAAACTTTACTTAATTCACATGCATAAAAGCAACTGTCATATTTTCCTTACAAACTTTGTAACTGTGACTTTGAGTTGATCAAGCATATATATCATACAGCACAATCATTTGCATTTGTAAACATGTTATACAAAATCACTCTAATAAGCTCAGTAAACCAATCTCTGGTGAAACCAATGCTAACAGGATAACCACCCATATTAAAGCTGACATATCATTGGCTGAAAATACACATTAATTAATTCACCTCTCAAAAAGCGCATTCTGAATTAGCTCATTTGTGACAAGATTTAAATTAATAAAAAGCATTTACTATAAACACAGAAGTAATATCTCTGTTATTTGAACTACAAGCTTGAAAAGTAAAATGGACCAACAGCAGTAGAGGCTCTTTATTTTGTAATTCAGGAAGACAATTAAAATTCCTCTTTTCCTATGACTCATGCAACCAGGTGCAGTAGTTTTTGTTTGATTAGAAAAAGTAAATACTCAAGATAGTGACCACTATTAACCACTTTGGATTAGACATGTGGTCTTTTGAGAAGTTCTGTCATTGTATTTTGCTGACCAAGATTTCTAATTTAGTATGTTGCGTTTGCTCCTTTACATTTCTAACTTATGAATAATAGATTAGAGAAATAAATTCAAGATCTCTAGACATACATGCTATTTGAATTTAAAGTGATTACCTGGCAAAAAGCTATTGTTTGTAATATTATTTTTCAAGATATTTACATATAATTTGTACATGTATGTTAAATAACACCATTTGCATGTAGTTTAGTAAAAGATCAGACAGGCATCATGTATAGTCAATCCCATTAATATGTATAATACAGTTGTAAAGACACCAACAAAGTCATTTGCAAAAAAGAGATTTTAAACTTCCTGGGAGAATTTTATTTAAAAGCTCAAGATAAATAGCACATCAAATGTTATTGACATTTATAACTTGATGTTGAATATTCTTGTAAAAAATTGAGATGTGAAATATGTAAGTGATTCTGTTGTTGTCTTTATGTCTTTACAACTGAACAGTGTATTCACATATTATACAATTTTCTACAATGATAATAATAATGATGACAACTAACCTTGTGATTTGCACTGTAAATTTTTTAATAATATAATAATTAGATTTAGAGAATAAAGAGTGTCATAACTAAAAAGGTTATTGATAATTTTTTTCATATCTAGCTGGCCCTGTTGCTGGTTGCCTTTTGTCATTGATGGCTGTAAGGATGTCCTTCATTCGTGCCCTAACTGTCGAACACAAGTTGGTGCTTACAGACGAATGTGATATTGCGTTGCCGTCACCACCCAAGCTTTAAAGACTGCACTTATTTTATAGTCAATCCACAACTTATCCAACCAAGAGAAAGTAGAATTTAGAATATGTTTAGAACATTAATTACTTTTTATAGCATGTAATGGCATATGTATCAAAATTTTGCATGCACACTTTTCATTTAATAGATTTTTGGTCACACATACATTTTTAATGAGACTTTAGCCATGTAGTTTCAAAAGCATTCTCAGAGTAATGTTGTGTGAATTTTGTACTATAATTAATGTGTGGTATTATCTGAGATCTTACACAAACATATGATACCTAGAAGAAGACCTTATCATTGATTTTTTGTTGTTGTTTTTTTTTGTGTGAACCGGTGTATTATACTCCAGTAATACTTAGCATTACGCAGGGTTAAGGGTTACACCTATTTTTATAGTTGATTTGCTAGAATCATTGACTTATTAATCTATGTAGATAAAATGTAAAGTGATGTGCCTACTCATGGCAATTAAATTGCTATATAACTTGTTTAATGTTTTGATAAAATGAAACAATAAACTATCAAAGTTCGATCTGTTTGAGTTACCATGTCCAGAAATAAATTGAAGATTTATGGAAATATAAAGATTGTTCCCTGTAGCCAGGTCTTCAATGATAATTTTGTTCATGGTCACTTAACTAGAGCAGCAAATGCAACTGTTAAGCTACTTCTAGAGTTTAAAAGAAAAGGGTTGGTTTGTGTAATTTCTTTATTCTGTTACACTGTAATAATTAAACTTTTTTGTTCTTTCACAGAATATTTTTTTTGTCTCAATTATGCAAGCAATGTACATGTACAGTCAATCCACATTATTAAATTGTAAAGACATTTAGGCAACAACAAAGTCATTTGCAAGAATATTCAACATAAATTTGCAAATGTATTAGGTGCGATCACTTTAACTAAAATCCTTTTTGGTAATGAACACATTTGTTGTAATTAACTCATTTTTATGCAAATGACTTTGTTGGTGTCGGTATATCTTTACAATTGAACAATGTTAGTGGATTCACTAACTTAAACCCAATACACCTGCAGTCTTAAATTCTGTTTTAATTATTAGTAATGACTATGGGATGCCCAAGAGAAACTACACAAGAAATTTATAGATTATGGTTTTGAGAAAAACATAAGATTTCCTTTTGTAGCATAAAATGCTTTAAAAACAAGAAGCATGAAATTATCATATAAAGTAATAATTTTTCAGTATTTTTGTTTTCAATAATAGGCCAATTGTGCACTGAACATTTGATAATTTCTTTATAATTATAAGATGGCAGCAGTTGTGCTGCTTAAATAAAAGACAGTAAGCTATGTTTAATGAGGATATTTACAAAGGAATTTGCACAATTTTTAAAACACTCTTTTCTAGATATCTATCTATTTGAAATGGAAGGGGCAGTCACTAGACGGTTTGATCCTAGAAATTTTAAAATTCATCTAATACTCCAATTTCGAGTTCTGTTTTGCTCTGTGTTAGCCTCAAAACCAAGTAACATATTCTTTTATTTTATTGATAGCCCGAGATAACGCATGGAATTTGAAAAGAAAGACAATAGAATTGATTTGAAATCTCACACTTTTATTCTCATAATTAGGAATATTTTGCGCACAAATGAGGCTAACACAGAGCAGTTGGAGAATTCGAAACTGGATTATTCTAAAGAAAAGTTAAGAGTGAATTTATATCAAAATATGTTCACATTGAAATGAATTATTAATAATCTATCAAATTTAATGTTAGCTGCAGTCTTTCGAATTTTGTATAATTTGTGTATAGACCTTGGTTAGCGTTGAAGTTTTTACCAACCCTTTTGAAAAATCATGTATCTGCCTAGCGCAAGTGGCGCAATACAACATGGCAGGTGCAAGATTTTCATCAGGGAGGGGTGTAGGTCAATCTCACACCCAGTGCATGCATTACATTTTGTGAAGCTTACGCAGTAATAGGGGCAGGGGTGTTGGGTACGAGATTGTGTGTAGGTCATCCATGGGAAGCCATCCCAACGGGGGGATGCACAGCAAAATGGTACAAGGTCTCATGAGCACACCCATACAAATTGGGTCTGACATCACAATCCTTTCCCAAATCTTGCAATCCCATTCTTGTTTTCTATTCTTTTAGTAAATCTTACTAGTCCATAATGCCATAACGATAGGAAATATGTAAAAGGAAATTTTAATAGAATCAAATTACAAAATGAAATTCCTTTAAAATAAGTATAACTTTACTTTATAATTGTCAATGGTCAAGTTATCAAAGAGAAATTTATCATATAAGCTTGAATATCAGTTCACTGTTCAGTGAAGTTTCTTGCCTTTTTGTTTAGTTTTGAGTCGAAGATGCATTTTGTTCGTTAAAAATGCTTTTCTCCAACCAATGTCTTTAGCCATAGCCTTCATTTCATCTGTAACGATGTCACTGTGCAAATAAACAATTCTCCTCCAAACATCATCACTACAGCACACATTTCTCATGTACCGATTGAGTGAAGAAAGACGAACAACATCAATGACTCCAAGAAACCGAGTCAATCGTACGATGACTCTTGGCGGGAGACGAACAAGCCAGTCACCACAAGCAATCCCATGAACAAGCCTTAGCATTTCTTCGCCAAATACGCGATTGATATCACTTTGAATTAGCTCCTCTTGCTCAAAGTCTGCCCAAAGGACTTTCTTTTGGTTTGGGGGAATTCCTCGTTCGTCCCTTCGAAGTGCGATCCGCCACGTTCTCCATATCACTTCAGTTTCGGTTACAACTAACTGATGGAAGTCTTTGCTTGGCGAAGGTGCCTGCCCCGCTTTCTCCACATAAACAATACCTTTACTCATMTTTGTTTTTCTTGGAAGGTCAACCCTCAATGGTGACCTGAATGATCATCCACTTGTCAGCTCCACTTGACTTGATGCATGCAAAGCGCGCCGCAAATTCTCAAAAAAGGCGGGAAAATAATGAACCAATCAGGTTGGACTTTGAGATCGAAAATATGAAATTTTTTTAAATGCATAAGAAGAGAAGAGGGGAAAATAATGAATGGCTGAAAATTATTTAGTGAGAATTTCTAAAACACTGTCCCTCTGAAGGCCTTATATCTGCTTTCGAAAAATTGCAAGGCTGGGAGGCTATATATACACTCCGGTCTGTCACCGGATTAGCCTTATTCGACAGCAGGTCCGCGGGCCCCATGTATGCATTTGAATTTTATATGGATTAGTTATCTCACTTGTCAAGCCCGAGCCGGAGTTACGTAGTGAGTCTATAAACCAGCAATTTATATAGCTCAGTAAAATCACGTAAAAAATGCGAGTTTATTTGTAAAGGGTCCGAAATATCCTCATTTGTCTCTTTTGAGTTTCTTTCTTTCATTTATCACTGTGAAAAGTGTTATTAAAAGAACCTTTTGTGATCTATCCTGAATCAATATTCTTGATCTTAGATAAGTATTTTTTTCAGTGATGTTTACTGAGGCCTGAAAGGTCCTGAAACGTTCGCTATACACCGTATGCTCATCGGATTGGAGAAAAGCCGCGCGTTTGAATGCCGCACTGAAAATTAAATTACTCAGTGATCCTAGATGTCGCGCACTTTTATTGTAAACCCAGAAGTCACTAATTAAGACTGGAGTGGTAGCCCTCAACCAATAACAATTATTCCTGCCGCCTAATCACTTGTGACTTGTGGCCTTACCAGTCAAATCTAATGGAACCACCAAAAGCCACCTTCAACTTGCATATGGGACATAAAACATTCAATAAATACCAGCATCTAGCTATTGTTTTACTTATCACACCTAGTGACCACGAATTCAAACCACAGCATCCTATCTTCTAGTAAAACAAAAAACAGTGACTAATAAAGAGCAAAGAAGTCAAAAGAAGCACAATTAACAAGACGATGGAAACTGCGACAGAAGATGATACTCCGGGAAAGGAAACAAAAGCCGAGAAGAAAGAAATCCCATTCACGGGTAACTTCAAATCTCTMAATCGAAAACTTTTAGTATCTAAGCTGTTTTATTTCTGTTACTGGGGAGCTGTTGGKTCGTTTTTCCCTCTTCTTGGAGTGTACTTCAAACAGCTTGGTATGAATCCAAGTTTAAGCGGGACTTTGGTCGGATGTCGGCCGATGGTTGAATTTCTCAGTGCGCCTGTGCTTGGTACCCTTGCCGACAGACTAGACAAGAGGAAATTTTTGTTGATGTTTTCCCTCCTGTCTTGGATTTGTTTCACCTTTTCGTTTGCATTTATTCAGCCTGCACCAGTGACTTGCCGAAAGTACTTTGTTCTTACCAAAAATGTTTCTAAGATCACCAAAGGTGAAACCTCAGAGGTTCAGAAATTCCTTCAGCCGAATACCCCTAATGAAGCTGAGCCTRAGTTTAACGCAAAGAGCTCGTTGGTCTACGAYTCAGAGGGAGTGCATCARGTTTTTATGGTATTGCTGTTTTTGACATTAATAGGAGARTTTTTCTCTGCYCCYGCGATCACCCTTGCTGACTCAGCTACTCTTGGAATGCTGGGAGAGAATAAGGAACTCTACGGAAAGCAAAGACTYTGGGGAAGTTTAGGTTGGGGAACAGCCATGTTCTTACTGGGTTTCATTATTGATAGYATGGAAGGGGTAGAAATGTGTGGAGARACTATMAGCCAGAATTACACCATTGGATTTTATTCCTTTGTTATYTTTATGTCGTGCGCTTTTTTGGTAGCGACAAGATTCACATTTGTGAAACAYAAGGAAACTTTTGACAATGTCGTCGAAACAGATTCGTCGAGCAGTTTTAAACTCTATAACACACTCTGCTCAATTCGCTATGGCGCCTTCTTATCCGTCACTTTTTTCATGGGATTCGGAATYGGRTTGATTTTCACWTTTCTATTTTGGCACCTTGAGGACCTCGGAGGCCCTCCCACGCTCTTCGGAATTGCATCATTGATCGATCACTTATCGGAGATTATTTGTTACTTTTACGTGGGTCACTTTATAAAATTTGCTGGCCACATCCCTGTCTTATATATCGGACTGGCCGGAAACTTTCTCCGCTTTGTTTACATTGCCTGGATCAGAAACCCGTGGCTGGTCCTTCCTCTGGAAATTCTTCAGGGTTTTACCCATGCGGCAGTGTGGGCCACATGTACGAGTTACATGGGRCGTATAGCACCAGTAGGATTTGGTACCTCAGCACAAGGAATACTGCAAGGTTTACATCATGGTCTTGGGAGAGGATGTGGTGCTATCATTGGAGGCTTGCTTACTCATAGATTTGGCACAGAAACTATCTTTAGATATTATGGAGTAGCAAACTTGATTGTTCTAATTCTGTTCTTTATTTTGCAAAAAATTCTGGGACCTGATGAAAGTATTTCAAATAAAACTGAAAAYAYAAAWCCCAAGTTAAAGGAAAGTCCAACAGCAAGTGTCCCCCCTGGATCACCGCCATCAATTGTTGGTCCYGTAGTACCTGGCTTATTTGAGGAAAAGGTGTCAGAAGATCCAAAATTTCACGTKGTTGGCCGTCACATACAGCCACCAAGAAAAGAATTTTTAAGTTAACCTTGATGAGAACTCCATGCTTTTTAGGCACAGAGCAGATATGTTGTGCATTCATTAAGGCCATGGAAAMACTTAACAGTCACCACTATTCATAACTTGTCCAATTTCTTTTWCCATTAAGAATGGACACAACATATCAAATTCAGCTTATCAAGAGCATCTTGATGCAACAGTTAAATTGGCAAGGAACATGCATCAAAAAATGGTGTAAATGTTTGTTTCTTCAAAAACAAAACCTAATACACAATAGGAAAGTCCTTTGCTTGCAAACATTCTTTTCACACTTTGAATTGTTTTACCAATCCCAATAGGTGAAAAGAAAGGAAGGGAACAATACAAAAATGAAAGAAAAAAATATTATCATTTCAAATTATTTGCTGCTTTTTATTAAGTTGATTTTTAGTATTTTCATAAGATAATATTCTAAAAGATATAAATATAATTGTTCATGAAGATGAGATAATGATTTAGAAATTTAAATTATGGCATAATTGAAAAACAGTATTACAACAAATTACTGGGTGATTGATTTGCGACCAGGCCTGCATGTGAATTCGCCAAGGTTGTAAGCCAGTGAGCCCGTGCATTTTTGTGAAGCGGTCATATTTGAAAGTGTAAATAAAGGGAAGGGAAAACCCGCAGCTCGCCTTATCATTCAGACAAACAGTACAAGTCGTGTTAAATTTATTTACATAACTAAACAAAATGATTATAGAATTAATCCTTTAAGAATTGAATGCTCATATGAAACATTTTCCACCTTAAATACACACGTGTTTTTCAGAAGGGAATTTAGTCGAACTTTAGTCACGTTGGAATTTTGTTTTGAGTCGCTTCGACATAAACAATCGCTATCAAGACATTACACGAAAAACCCCAGTCACCGTTCTAGCTTTCGTTGTAAGGTCAAAGCTGGTAAATGTGTAACTGATCTGTTACATAACGACGATAACGGATGAGCTACGACAGTTGTTTTAACCAAAATTAACAAACGCTTTAACTCTATTGGAATACGGGGACCTAAGCTGCTCTATAGCTCTTCCAGTGATGTTGTAGATACCTCAAAGCTTAGAGGAAACAAGCTAAGAAAAAGGATTTGCAATGACTCCTCCTAAGATACTTTGGACTTGAACGTCGCTTCAACGACCTTCTGAAGTCTTCATCGGCCATTGATTCGCATGCAATGGAGAACCCGCACAGAACACAGAACAATTATGTTTATCAGGGAGGGGAGTCTCGTGGTATTAAAGAAAAATTTATTTGTTATTTCATTTTTAAGATGAAATTCTATTTCTATAACGATAAATATTTGATTGACATTTTAAAAGCTATTTTATAAAGATTTTCATTTCTCTTTGCGTTTTAGCTTCGATTTTTCGGATAGAATAAAATGACAGGCAGCCTACTCCACTGGGTCGAGTTTTGTTGTGCAAATTCCTCCCGTCGGGGGGTTATGTTTACAACATAAGCTTGTCAGCTTTGCGCTGATTGGCTAGTCGCATTTTCTCAAATCACCCAGTACTCAATGGCAACATAACTGCTAGGGACATTTTAGAGTCAAAGAAATGAAGAAAAATAAATCTAAATTTTAATCCAATGTATATATTTTTAAATGTTGCACCTTAACTATAATGACAGCCCCAAATGTGTCCTCTATATAAATTATGTACCACAATATCTATATTGTGTATTTTCATGTCCAAACTATTGTCCTCCTGTAATTAAATAATTAAACACTCTCTCAAGGTCAGTTTGTGTAAACACTCTCAAGGTCAGTTTGTGTTATACAATGATTCTAATGCACTACAGATTCTCTGTCAGATATTACTATTGGGATCCCTGTGGGGTAAACAGGGACCCCAACAAAAATTGCAAGTGTATCTATTCCTTTCTACTCTTCTTTCTATTTTTGGGGCTTCCTGTTTTCCTCAATAAGAGGATACCAGAGGGATCCCAAAAGGGCAAAAAGAAGTGCTGCCTGCAGATTAAGCTATAACTACAGGATATGAATGATGTTATAATTATAGACCTTTTCTGAGATAGCAATTTGCATTGAATTGTGGTCTAGATTCAGTACAAAAATCTAGCACAGTTTGTACAGAAGCTAGACCACAATGCAGCATGATTTTGGATTTCAGAAAATGGTCTATTGGTTAATAAAACATGACAAAAATCATAAAGGCATAAGCTCCAGTAATAATCACTAAAATAGCAGTGGAGGTAGTATCAAAAAGCTGTCTATATGTCATTAGACCATACCAACAACCACATAGGACAAGTGTAAGTACAGGAATAAACAACCTGCTCATGTCTATTTCAATGTCTTCATCTTCCTGTCCTAAAGCAGAGCTAGGTTGTTGTACATCTGATATTTGTGCATGAACCACTGAGTAATTTGAAATGCCATAAAAGGATATATGAGCACTGTCATCATTTAGAAGGCGTCCACTGTATATAAAACGTACYCTTCTACCTTGTGCAACTTCTTCAGGAAAAGCAAGTCTGAAAGGAAAGAAAACAGAGTTTTTATGCTACTCTGATCCACAAAAAGTACTTTTTGTCTGTTTTGATTGAGATTAATTTGGCCAACTGTRTATTCAATTAAAAACAATAATAATTG